CTGACACCACTGACACCCTCATCTAATGACTGATAAAGACCAAACTTGGCACACAGAGCCCCCATGACCCACTCTATATCCTGCTGCTGTTTGTAGGAGGATGGCCCATGGATGATGGGACTTCAAGTACCTTCACTCACTTCCTGAAAATAATGCAGCCGTTATCCAAAGACCAATAAAGACCAAACTTGGCATACAGAACCGCCATTACCCACTTTCTCTAATAACCCGGGCAACGCCGGGTCCCCAAGCTAGTGTTAATATAATTTGAAAACTGTACATAAACATTGATTTAAAGATGCTCATTAATCTATTGGTTAAGGTAATGGTGTTTCATCACCCACTGATCCAAACTGCGACTATCTTTTCAAGGACTGCCTTCAGAAAACCTATTTAGGTGGAGGGGGGAGGGGAACAAAGAAAATTCTTGGGAGAGAAAAAAATTAAACTTGGGCTGTATAAGGCTTTAAGATATGTGCTGAAAAGCAAAACAAGGATGAGAAGGAAGTGTGGTTTGGAGGCGGCCTAACTATTATTATCATCATCATCATCATCATCATCATCATTATTTATACCTTGATTTATCTTCTCCAAAGGGGACTCAAAGTGGCTTAACATAAAAGCAATAGCATAACCATTTAAAATATACAAATAAATGAACAATAAAACAGGGTTAAATATAAACACTATTTAAAAAAAAATCCCAGTTCAAAACTATTCAATAAATTCAGAGTCAAAACCACTGCACCCTCTGAATTGATCTTAAACACCTTCATCTTTAAAAGCCTGCCTGAATAGCCTGCCTGAATAAAAAGGTTTTAGCTTGCTGCCAGCGGAGAGGGTGCCATTTGGCTTTCCTGGGCAGGGAGCTCCAGAGTCAGGGGCCAGCCACCGAGAAGGCCCTTTCTCTCACACTTACCAATCATCTGTGAAGTGGGATTAAGGCGAATACTACAAGTTTCCTAATTTTAAAAAAGTATTTGTGTGCTCTGTATTCAGAAAAGAGGACCAGTATCTTACATATATGCATTACATATACACACGATGTTAACATCTACTACCCACAGTTTGCTGTTAACTACTGTCAGCTTCAATTTATGGCAACCTTTTGTATGAGACATCTCAAGCCACCTTGTCATCAAGAAGTCCTGCTCATTTTCTACCGTCAGGACTGTGTCTTCCTTGATGAAGTCTATCCATTGACCTGTAATGTCATCTTCTTTTCCTACTGCTTCCTACTTGACTAAAATTGTCGTCTTTTCTAGTAAATTATTTCATATGTTCTTAGGTTCATAATTTTGGTTTCTAGAGAGAGTTTAGGTTTGATTTGCTCTCGGAACAATGTATTGGTCATTTTGGCAGTTCATAGCATCTGCAAAACTCTTATCCAGTCCCACATTTCAAATGAGTTGAGTCTCCACCTGCCAGCTTTCTGTTGCCATATTCTAGTACCTTTCCCAATAATGGAATATTGTAAGTCTCCTATAAATGGTGATCCAGGGAAACTTTTTCAGTAAAAGAAACATACTTGCCTAAGCCGATAATAATACATTTGTGGAGGCTTAGCATATTAAAATTCACTCATCCTACTGCATTCAGGTAGGATCATGGTACAGAATATAAATTGGGCCAGTTACTAATCTGAAACAAAAGTACCCACTGAAACAATTCTTGAATAGTAAGTCAACAAATATATAAATCCTATCCTATATGGTTTGGGTCTAGGTTACCTAAAGGATCGCCTTCTCCCATATAATCTGACCCACACACTTCTCTCTTCTGGGGGGTGTCTGCTCCAACCAGCCAGAACATGACTTACAACCACCACGCAGAGGACCTTTTCATCGGCCGCCCCAAGGCTGTAGAACAGCCTGCCGGTAGAGCTCCGACAACTAAATCAGCTTTCAGAATTTAAAACAAAAGTAAAGATGTCTCTCTTCCAGCAGGCCAACCGAGACAGTCTTTAAACATAAACATGAATTTTAATACATGTCCTTTGTTTAATCTCTGTTTCGTCTGTTTAAATATGTATTTCATAGAGATACGTTTTGGTGTGCATCTTTTATGGAGGTAGGTTTTGTGTGTGTATTCATAGTTTTTTTGCTTTGTTTATGTATTCTAATTGTTTTGTATCCCACCTCGAGCCATGAGGAAAGGGAGATAAGAAATAAAATAAAATAATAATAATAATAATAATCTGAATGTACTCCAGTGGGGGCTAGTAGTTGGATTGAGACTGTCTTATATGTAAAAAAAAAACAACAACTTATAAAGCATAAAGCTATATCAGCAGTAGATGCTCCAATTTTTCTGTACCCTGGATTGTACTTTCTCATTTTCAGCCCCTGCCAACACACTCCTTCATTTGATGTCACCTGCTAGCTACATGAAGAGTTTATTTGAAGGTATTTTACTTTATAGAAGTGATTTTTTTTGCAAGGAAAGAAATATAACAGCTGACATCCCTTAATGGGCTCTTACCTGTGTAATTAAGAACTTGGTTATTCGCTCTGGCAACCTTCCTTTTTCACTTGACAAGATCATCTCCAACATATCTCCATGGAGCTTCTCCATAACAACAAACACTCTTTCTGGTGTCTCAAACATGCATTCCAGATTTACAACCCCCAGATGATGCAGGTTCTGTTATTAAAGATAAACAGTATTTGAATGAGCTGTATTTGTCTAGATCCAATGTCAAGACTCAGGAAACTTGGGTTATTATTCATTTTTCAATCTCTTTAGTACTAGCATAGCTATGAATAAAAGTACAAGGGATAATTTGCTATGTAAAGTGAAACAGCCAGGACAACACAAACAACTGCCGAAGTTTTGATCTGCCAACAATAACATTTTAAGGGTGTACATAGAACAGACAATTTGCCCTAATGAATTTATTTTAAGAGCAGAACAACAGAACCAGTTCTGAAGAAGTTGTCATATTAGTCTGTTGCAACCTACGAGGGTTGAATGAAAAGTTATGGCTCCACCTTCGTAACTCCTCAACATATGACAATACTGGTATGAGGCAGGTACTGGCTTGTTCAGTACTCTCTTCTACAGTTCCATTTTGGCAGGAAGCCTTAGCATTGAATGGTTGTGTTGTTAAAGTGCGAAGTATGGAACCCTGTGCAGACATTCAGTCAAAGCGACTTAAGCAACGTGCAGCATTGAATTCTTGACAGCAGAAGGTGTCACCCCAAAGGAGATTCATCAGAGAATGCAAGCTGTTTATGGTGATTGTGTTGATGTGAGTACTGTGCATCGTTGGGTGAGTAAGTTTAAAGATGTTGAGGTGGGAACATCTGACTTGCGTGACAAACAAAGAGTTGGACGTTCTGTGACAGCAACCACTGAGTTTCGCAAGCAAAAGGTTGACAGATTGATTCAGGATGATCGTTGTATCACTCAGAGAGAAATTTCAAGCATAATCGGCATTTCACAAGAGTGTGTGCTTGGTTACTGAAAGATCTGTGCATGATGGGTTGCAGAAACAGAGTGTCGACTTCTTCCGTGATGGCTTCAGAAAACTTGTTCATCGTTGGCAGAAATGCATCCAATTGTCTTGTGATTATCTCGAAAAGTGAATAGTGGTAGTTAAAGAGCACATTCTAAGAATTATTTCTGCATTTGATTTATTAAAATACTCCCATCCAAACCCAAGTAACGAAGGTGGAGGCATTACTTTTCATTCAACCCTCGTACAAGGTCATGTGGCACCTTTAAGACAAAGAGGTTCATTACAGCATTAGCTTTTGTGGGCTATAGTTCACAGGTTCATGCCACAATGCAGCGCTTCTCAACCTGACATTCATGGACTCATAAACATTAAGAGGCTATGAATTGGGTACAAAAACAATATTTTTTATTCCACATCTTTCCCTTTATGTTAATATTCCCTGTAAATTGGGATGACAATTTAGTCTTTTCATATTTCTATTGTAATTTCTTTTGCTCCGAACTAGTCCGTGTGAAGGTAATGATTTTTTTCTGGATAATTTTATTTTGCAAAATGATAAAAAGACTATGGCTGTAGAGATCAAACCAAGATTATGAAAATACAAAGTAAGGCTAATACAGTGAAATATGGTAAAAATTATATGGGGTTCAAACCAAACATAACATGAAACACTAGTTAAAATAAACAATAGAGATTCCAGTAGCAAAGACGTAAAAGGCCTGGAAGAATAAAAGAGTCTTAAGTAATGACCCAAAAGAAACAATGTTAGTGGCAGGCACATTTTTGTAACGAAGGCATCCTTTCATTTTTTTAAAATGGTGACACTCACCAGACCATCACAATAGCAGTGCTTTCTGTAACACATATGCAAAGACTGAAAAATTATTACAATTCACTGTTATTGCTAGAAATCTCACCAAGCTCCTCATTTTTTTATTTCATTATCTTTATTATGACTATGAGATTGATTATGACCCCAAACTAGACGAATGCGGATTTTTAGTTTAATTAGTTGTTGTATTAGTAAGATGTTATGTCATGGTCTTGATGCATTGTAAATTGTTGTCTTTCTATGTTCTGTACACCGCCACGAGTCGCCCTTGGGCTGAGAGTGGCGGTTAACAAGTGCAAATAATAAATAAATAAATAATTTAATAGCTTTCCCACCGAAGTTGAAATAGAGTTTTAGACTCACTGTAAAGGGGTCTTCTCCACCCCAGTCGAAAGGAGTTCCAATGCAATAAAATACATTCTCTTATTTATCTTATTGCATTGAAATGTGAAATCCTTTCCTTCATCATTTCTGAAGATCTCCATTCTAAAGCAGAAAATCTTTAAGAGAGAATTAGGCTAGATCTACACTGCCCTATATCCCAAGATCTGATCCCAGATTATCTTCTTATCCCAAATCATCTGGCAGGGGAGACTAGACATGGACAAACTTCAGCCTCCAGATGTTTTGGACTTTAACTCCCACAATTCCTAACAGGCTGTTAGGAATTGTGGGAGTTGGAAGTCCGAAACACCTGGAGAGCCGAAGTTTGCCCATGCCTGGTATAGACTCATATAATCTAGTTCAAAACAGATCTGGGATCAGATCCTGGGATATAGGGCAGTATAAATCTAGCCTTAACCATTCGGGCTGGTGGAGATCTTCAGAAGTGAAAAAGGAAAGGAATTCGTGTTCCAATGCAATTAGATAAGAGTAGGCCCAAATTATGGATTTTGATATGAAGGGTTATTCTGCAGAGCGGGTAAAGCACCAACACTGTCACAGGGGGCCACTTGCTACTGTCCACCACCACCGTTTCCCAATAATAATAATAATAATAATAATAATAATAATAATAATAACAACACTTTATTTGTACCCCGCTACCATCTCCCCAAGGGACTCGGTGCGGCTTACATGAGGCCGAGCCCAAATACAACAATACAGGCAATAAAACAACAATACAAGCAATTTTCCCTATTCAGGCATTCAAAAAGACCAACTGTGGCACGCCTTTGAAAGTAGAGGGGATTGGTGATTGTTGTAGTTTCTCCTGGGACAGATTTCAGTATTCACACTGACCTGTCAATAAGTTGAACCAAGTTTTTGGGGTTGAGTTTTTTCCCTACAATTTCTAGACTTTTTTCCCCACCATTTCTAGACTTACAGGATTCATAGGAATAAAATCAGATTTTAAAATAGTTATTTTTCCCTAAGAGGTTAAGAATCACTGTTATAGTATATCTGCTAATGTTAAAGGCTCAATATGCCATTTGTGATGTTTTATAGGAGTTCTGTGTTGTATCTTCATCTTGCTCCCAACTTTTTAGACGCTGGAATCTCAGACTGAAATCTTGAATACTTTTTCTTAAATTATGCTTAATGATTAAAGCAGACTGCACCATTCCAGGATTCTGATTACAGTTGCAGCTAGCCGTGCAATGAACTCCTTCAGTAAACTCCCTTTCAACCTAACGATCAATATTCTTCTCTCTCCCTCCCTCCCTCCCTCCCTCCCTCCCTCCCTCCCTCCCTCCCTCTCCCTCCCTCCCCCTCCCTCTCCCTCTCCCTCTCCCTCTCCCTCTCCCTCTCCCTCTCCCTCTCCCTCTCCCTCTCCCTCTCTCTTCCCGTCAGTTAGAACTCCATGGTCACAGGGCATATTCAGTCCTTACTGGTCATTTTGGGTTCCCCTTCCATACTATTTTCCTCTTCTAAATATTTTTGTTCCCTCTTTGATAGTGCTGTTTTGGCTCCATAAATAGCAGCACCTAGACTGCTAAAGGAATAACTCCCAGCAAAATGTCTTTACAAATGCACTTTAACCATTGGGTTGTGTTGGACTGTACTCCTCATTTTTTTTAAAAAAAAAACCACTTTTTAAAAACCCTCTTACAAGATATATCCTATCTTGTCATACCCAGCGTTATTTTTTTAATTTTAAATCATTACATCTGGCCTGGTCATAAGCTTTTAAATCCGGTGTGTTATTGTTATATGTGATTTATATTATTTTGGATTGCTTTGTATTGTTGTTATTGCTTTTCTGTTGTGATGTGTTGTTGGGCTTGGCCTCATGTAAGCTGCTCTGAGTCCCTTGGGGAGATGGTGGTGGGGTATAAATAAAGTTATTATTATTATTATTATTATTATTATTATTATTATTATTATTATTATTATTATTATTAGACAGTGACTGGTATGATGTAAAATTTAAAATTGCAGTTTTAATTCATTCCATAGTTCAAAGAAAATATGGCTTATGTTTTCTTTTTTGCTACAGATGAAAGGACAGGCAAGAAAAATCCCTTAATACCCACTGATTGCTTAGATTATCTACAAAGTGCATTTACTTCAAAACATGTCAATTACCAAGTTATTAACACTTTGTTTCAATTTGTCTGTATTTGAAGCAGATTAGAAATTATTTGAAAAGGAGAAATTACTGGAGACTTTATCTGGAAAATCCAAAGCATAATTAGTTGCAAAGATTTCTACTGCTGTAACCTGTTCTCAGTAAGTTTTATTGCCCTGCTCTAAATTAAATACATACAGGATATAATTGGTAATTAAATAAAAGATACCTGTAAAATTGCAACCTCATTACGAAGTTGGCTTTCTTGCTTAGTTGGAAATCTCAGTTTGTCAATGATTTTAATTGCTACATCTCTTCCCGTTTTGCGATGTTTTCCTGCATGATGAAAAATATGCCAATTAACATGATCAACTCTGAGAAGTTATCACCTTTCTAAAACCGCAATCTTTTCTGTTACATTAAAACCTCATTGTCAAGGTCACCTTACAATGAAGATTGTTGTAAGACATTCAAGCTTTTTTCCTCTTTAATTTCATGATATTTCTCACGGAGCAAAAAGCAGTAGATGAGAATTTCAGAAGTAAAACAACACAAGGGCAGAAGTTTAAAGCAAGCCTTTCACATACATTCCTCCTTCTCATACACAGTGTAAAAGTGCCTGCAACTTTTTAAAGAACTGTGTGTAGCCTGCCCTACAAATGTGATATGTAATCTGATAATAAATAGCTGTTCTTCATAGTGGAGACTACCTTGAATGCAAACTACCATTAGCAGTTAATGCAGAGGAAAAGAACATAAAGGCACATTATCATTGTTAGGACTAAAGCTTGCTATAAGATACATGCTGTCCATAGGACTAGCGTTCAAACATTTTTTGTGTTACAATTTCATTGGCCCATAACACCCCTTCATTACACATTTCATACTCTTTTGATGATTGTTTAATAAATGTAAACATTACATGATTTGTCTAAATATCAGTTTCCATGAGACTGACTTTGGATCCCAGTTCTACATCCTTTATACTATGACAGATCCTAGGCAGAGGATCCTGACATTAGGGCTAAAAATAGACTGAAGTGGATCTAGATAATCGACCTTAACCAGGAACCATTAGAGATAGCAAGCAACTACTTGCTCTAGTACTTTGCTCAAAAGCTGGAGAGTATAATTATCCAGTGTTCTCAGACCCAGGGAAGTCTTTTTTGAAAAGACTTACCACCACCTGTTTTAGCAGTGTTGAGCTCCTGTTTTGTAAAAAAGGATTAATCCCTTTCCTTACTCACTCACTCAGTCCTCATCTGGCCTGTTTAATTAGCAAAGGTGGGCAGTGTCTAGTACACAAGATTGTCAGTGTCTAGTACACATGTGGTGACTCTCAACTTTCCAACGATCCTATCTACAGCTTCAGGTTGCAAAAACTGAAAAGTATCTATCAACAATTAAGAAGCAAGGACCAAGGTTTTATCCACTGGAACTGTATCTATTCTGGTATCTAAAGTCAGTGCAAGCTGAAGTGATTTTATATGTGAAATGATGGGAAAATTCTTATCTTGGGTCTGTTCATCTACTTTAACAAAACTATGGTTTAGCAAAACATTTAAATACGATCAGTTAATGAATGACTTGGTGGCACATAGTAATACTTTGCTCCCTGTCTTCTCAACATAAGACATTAAAATTTCTTTGCATGTCAGTGACAGAGAAAAAACTATCTTTAGGTTCTAAATTCCCCTCTCCCCCATTTTCATATTTATGATTCATCTTACCTCCATAAACAATTCCAAACTGTCCTGATCCCAGCACCTCATCTGGAAAGATTTGGTACACTGTACTGATATCCTACAGATGTAAATATAAACAACCCTTTAACCATAAGATACGGAAGTGAAGCTGAGAAATTAATTGTTTTGCTGAAGGTGAAGAAATTGATTTGACAGAAATGCTGCTAAGTGTCAGAGTCTGAATTATGTCTATGCAGGAACTGTGTAGGTGTCATAGCTACTCATTAGAATCCGCATGAGTTATGGAATGTCTTGTTATATAAGTGCTGATTTTTACTGGAAAACTCACATATATTCCAAATGTTTGTGTACTTAAAGCCAGTTTTCATCTTGGGACATAACGAAGCTTCTGGAAACACACATCAAGTGTCCTGTATCTATGATAGATACAGGACATTTGATGTGTACTCTGAAAGGCCTCGTGTTCACCCTCCACACTGAAGAATCTGTGGGTTTGTGATGGGACAAGATTGGTTCTGTGCTGTACACGGTGAAAGTTCTGTTGAGGCTTATAGACTCCAACCATGTTAAGTGACTTCATCAGGGTGCACAAAACCAATGGAAGAGTCCTAACTCATTTTGAATACTCTCAAAACTTAATAAAATTAGGAATGTCAAATTGAAGTTGAACAAACTTACAAATAAATATACTTTAGGTGGACATTTTCATGACTGTTCCCATGCAGTTCCATGGAGTACAACAACTATGTAGTGATATGGAGCAACAATGAAGTTAGCTAAAAATTGCCTCTTGGATTTCAGCCTGTTAAAAAAAATCTAAATGGGCAATTTTCTCAATTTTTTTTGTCCTTCAGTAAGGAAAATGAGTAGTGAGACATCCTCTGAAACTTTTCCAAACAGATCAATGGCTTTGCAAACTGCACTGTTATGTCTGGCACCAACACTCAGAACACTTACCACATTTTCTTGGACCTGACAATTTGATACTGAAATACTGATGGATATATTTCCTAGAAGAAAAAGTGAGGTAATTATTGTATGTCTCTGTCTATCTCCTTCTTGCTCACTCTGACACACACACATATAGTGTATTTGGGGAATCATGAAACAATAATCATCTCGTTCATAACATAGAGACTGTTGGTTCAAAATGGTTTCACATGATTATGTTTCTCTTCCACATTGATTTTTACAGTTGTCTCAGTTTGCTCTGTAGGATAGTTAAGCTTATGAACTGAACCAATATATTTTTATCTTCCTGCCCACAGACCTTGAAAACTGACAGTGATATTAAAAGAGTTTTTTTAAGATCACAATACTACCTATGATTTAAATTTCAATACAAGATAACTGCTAAAATCAATGTACATTGAACATAATGTAGTCAAGTGATTAAGGTCTTTTACACAGTTCTTCACCTTTTCCTTAACCAACTCCATGAGACAGTTATAAATAGAATAACTTGAGAATCAATATTCCAACATTAGAACTAAGATCCTACCTAGGTTGACCATTACAATAATGTCCATAATGGCAGGTATGGTTTTTATATGAAATATACTGAGATTTACTGAATTCAAAAGTACTTAATGAGACAAACAAAGCATATCAACTTATCCAATCCCAGATTTATCACCTAGATTCCTATATCAAACTTTCCTTAAAGCTCAGAGTGCTTTACTAAACATAAGAAAACACATAAGTAGAGAAGGCTGTGGGAAGCTAGGGGTCACATTAACCTCTCACCAATTTGTTTGTTTTGTTCGTTTTGGTAACTTTGACTAAAATTTAGCTTTTGCTCATTTCCTGTTTTAGCAAAAAGGCCCTTCTAAACCCAAAATGGCTATCCCTTGTCCTTTTGTATTTCAGCCAAAAATGGTTTTAAAAAAATATCCTTGGGAGCACAAATATGGCCTTGGTGGATCACATATACTTTGCAGGACAGGGACAGTAGGTCCCCAGATGCTTTGGCCTACAACTCCCAGAAATCCTAGCCAGTTTACCAACTGTTAGGATTTTTGGGAGTTGAAGGCCAAAGCATCTTGGACCCACAGGTTGAGAACCACTGTTGTAGGATATCCTTTGCATGCTCCTTCCCTAAAGCAAACAATATATGCCAGTTAATCATTTAATAACTCATTTATTTCAACATTCACTAATGTCAAATTAAAAGTACAGATTAACAAAACATTTCAAGTGCACCTTGTTGTTTTGCATATAATACTATTTTAACCACCTGAACTGTCATATCTCTACTGTTAGAGTAGCGAGACAATGCTTAACAGATGTTTTCAACTGTTGTACGGTCTTTCTGCAAGCCATCTCCATGGACCTCACCAACAGGTTATTTTGAGACTTTCTGCATCAGTTTATTCTAAAATAAGAAAAGTGAACATACTGTGCAAGTTTGGTCCTGAACCAGTGGATGCTCCTTTGGAGATAACAGGCATGAGGGCATGCTGGATGGCCATTTCCCACAACCTTGCTACATCTTGGCCACAACCACTTGCCAGAATATTGTTGTTAGATGAAACACTTGGCAGGTTTTCCACATTTTCCCCAACATAGTAGACTACATTTGCTGTGGTAATTTCAAAGCAATGGTGATTTGCTTCCTGTGGTAATAAATCGAAGGTTTTTGCAGGTTCCAGGGATAAAATTTCAGACAATGGAATTTCCTGAGGAGAATAATAATTGCAATTATTATTATTATTATTATTATTATTATTATTATTATTAACTTTATTTGTACCCCACTAGCATCTCCCGAAGGACTCGATGCGGCTTACAAAGGCCAAGGCATCAAAACACAACATAACAATACAACACCTAAAGCAAATTAAAAACAGTTAAAGCAATATTAAACAACAAGCAATAAACAATACATCGAGACACTATAAAACTGGGCTGGGTCAGAGTAATGGGTACAAGGTTAAAAGTGCTGATGTGACAGGTGATATGTAAGGATTATAGGGTAAGTGCAGTGTGCAGCAATCTTAGTTCTAATAAAGTGCTTCTGGGACTTATTATTATTTCCATGCACCAAAAATATTTTATTCTTATTCTATTATTTTCATTATTATTTTCTGTATCTAAACATTTGACCAAGCAAAGAACAGTGTGGATGCTAAAACCAACTTAAACCTCCACCTCTGCCTCTGAGCTTGCTACAGGAGATCTTCAGTAATATCTCTAATTAATGACAGCATCTGTATTCCTTCTCAATTTCTTGTTTCCCCTTGGAACCATGCCATAGTTTAGAAGATTAATTTAAATACCAGAATGGATTTCCTGGCTAGTAGAAGAAGCCATATAGATAATTTTGTATGCCTGTTTTGTCACATCTCTTGATAAAATTATATTGGACCACAAGGCAATTTAACTCTGTACAGGACCTAATGTAGTTTATCAAGCGGAGAGGTTTTGGGGTTCATGGTGGGTCCGTGAGGGAGGTGGAGATGTTAAGTGAATCTGACTCGAGCATAAGCCAAACTATGCCCTACCACAAATGGTGAGGAGGGGCAGGTAACCAATAAAACATCATCATCATCATCATCATCATCATCATCATCATCATCATCATCATCATCATTTTCCAATTTATTAAAACAACAACTTGGCTCAATTCCAAGACAATCAAATATAAAGAAATGGTGGTTGCAATGCAGAGCTTATCCATATTTGTTAAGGTAAACTGTCAGAATATTTCAGTTATTTTATATACACCTGAATATTCAAAAGTAAAACCTAAGCAATTTTACCTTGTAGTATTTGCTTCCAGTATCATTCTGGAAAAGTGTAATACATTTGCTGTCCAATCTCCAGTAGTGCCGTTTCCTCTGCATTGAAATAAAAAAAAATTAAAACACTATAATAGCATTTTACTAGACATCAAATGAAATAAAATGTAATAAGACCATGTAATCTAACCAAGACTGAGATGAATGATAAAGAACAATAACTGATTTGAAAGCCAGAAGTGTTTCATACTTTAAGCTTTCTGAAAATCAACAGATTTTTATCATCTATTTCCAATTATTCACCAAAGATTGTTATTTCTGGTAGATAAATATAGTCAGAAATTAATCTTTATCTTGCTTTGGTGTTTGAAAAAGTTAGTAGTAATTCCTTACTAACAATTATAATTCTGCATTGACTGACCATATACAGACTGAATCTATGATCTGAGTAATCAATAAGATTATACCAATAGGTCTTTATCAGACAGCAATACAGTAGTCTCACTTATCCGACCTTCGCTTATCCAACATTCCATCTTATCTAACACTCTTATCTAACACCCCCCTTTTCCTCAAGCATTTCCCCTTAAAAGAGCTCTTCCCAACTCTTTCTCCAATCGCAATAAGTGAAAAAGGCAAGACAAGGAGGAGGAGGGAGGAAAGAGGAAAAAGAGACAGAATGCTCCTCTTCCGCATCCGGACATTTCCTGCTGGGCCACTCTAACCCTGAGGTGTTACCTTGCCTGAACCCTTTGAGTCTCTGTTGTTTGTAGTGCTGCGTTGGACAGGTAGCAGTAGGAGAGTCCATATTATCCTACAATTTTGTTTATCTGACATTCCGCCGTCCCGTTTATGTCGGATAAGCAAGATTCTACTGTATTAAAGTGTGTTTTTATAAAGTTACAGAAAATAGCAAATTGTAACGGTAACATAACATGATTGAGCTCTTATCAATTTATCAAGGCAGTGTAGGAATTCACTCTCAAGTGATCTCCATAATACCAGGGTAATGTTGGAAGATCCTCTCTCACGCACCCTGTGCCTCATGGTATTTCTTAAGTGAGCAAGAAACATAAAGGTATTCTTAGGTAGCTGTGTGTCGTGTAGGAATTACTGGGATCTAACAACAGTTGCCCTGTGTGATAAGCTAGTGAACATCAGATGGCAAGATGCTAGATGAACTTGGGGTGTATTTAGAACAAAAATCCCACTTTCTGTATCAGGATATCCACTAAATGCCTGAATCTATTACCCATAATAGAGGCATTTCTACGTACTACTTGCCCCACCACCATAACCCAAAATATCACAGGATTATATAATCAAGTATAGATTCTTCTTTGCCCAATGCCATATTCAAGCATTTTAAAATGGGTAAATTTAAATGTTTGAGGAATGGAGTGTGCTAGCTTTGCTTCTGCCCCCCTCCCTCCCAATTGAGGTTATGTGTAGAGAGAGAGTCTGAAAAGGAGGAATCTCTGTTTAACATAGAAGCTCTCCACATGATCAAGGATCATGAAAAATATCAGGTTTTAACATAACATGGAGAGGCTCTTTATACAGAAGAGTTTGCTCTCTTTAGACAGCTATTCATTACATGTGACAACAGAAGAGAGCTCCATTTATAATACAAGCTGAATTATACTCCTTATTCATCAGATATGAAGAATAGTCAATATCACTTCACCACACCTTACTTTATAAGACTTGCACACTTGTACACATTCTAAATGAATCACATCAAAAATATCAATTTCCTAGTGCATTTTCCTAATTCTAAAAAATGATACAAGAAAGCTGTTTTCCTGAACATCTCTGATGCCATTATAGATACATTTTGATTTGGTTTTATAGAATGTCTTCACGTTCTGTGGTATGTCTAATGTAAATCTGAATGTCTCCCCATATTTTCACCTATTTTAACAAGGGAAGCTTTTTTTAAAAAAATCGCAATTTAAGCTGTTCTTGTTGAATAGTTCAATTTTAGAGTTAGAAAGAGCAAGCAGATATTAGAGCCTTGTACATTAAAAGCCACTTCTCATCAGGTTAATCAGACTTGTAGATCCAATCAACATTGTGTCAGCAACCCCATTCTTCTGCAACTGTTTGTAAATTGAAAACATTCCTTTAAAAAAATCAAGAGAAAAAGAGAGCAATAGCAGCTCTTAGTCACAACTACCAATGAATTTTACTTCTTTGTTTAGCCTCTTTCTTACCAGAGTGTCTTTGCTTGTGTAGTGAACCATCCATCCCTCTTTCATTACTGCACTGCTTCTCCTTTTTGTATGTTTGACAGATTGTACCACTCTCATTAATGGGATGTTGTTACTTGTTGAAGGGCTTTTAAGAAAACAATAAATGGAGGCAAGAGATTATTTTTAAAAACACTCAAAACAAAACCTTCCATAGACATATTATGGGTGTATGGATTGTACTCAGAGGTTTTCTTTTATGGGTGGAATGCTTTCTTCTCTCAATTTGAAGACTTCCATCCAGCTCACCATTTCCAGTGGACATGTAAAGAGGAGATCCAAAATAAAGTGGACTCACCATGGAGCTGCTGGATTTGCAGAAGTGCAGCACCCAGCCATGAATGCGGGTCAAAGGAAAATGGGATTTACCCCTAAGCTTTAGATATATGGATAGCAGATTGGCCCAATCCCTTGTCCACACTACTAATGGAAACACCTCTGTGTCACCACCAACAAGCAGCTCCCTGGTGATGTCATACCAGAGTGTCCAGCCATGTGACCAGGAATGTGATGTCACTGGTGGTGATGCAACTGTGGCAATCACCCCAATACAACCTTATCTGGCCAAAGGGTTCCAGGGACATTCCCAGGCTTCATCAGAGCAGCTACAGAGTCATTTAACCCAGATTAATCCAGTAAGTGTCACATGGCCCAATTCCCCCTTCCCTGTAAAGTGGCAGCGGGTTGGGCTAGATGGAGAGACCACATGGGCCAACTCTATTATTCTATGACTCATTTTGCTCAAAAAAATATTGCAGAATTTCCATTGTGTCTAAGCCCAGCAGCTGAGAAAAGGTCCTACTCTATTCCAACTGTCACTGTTATTGCCTTTATAAAGACAGAATAGTTAAGGACAGCTCTATTATGCAAAAACCCAGCAGCTGAAAATAGGGACTTCTTCCATCAGACTTAATAAGAGAGAGAAGAAGAGACACACACAGCTTCATTGTGGTTAGGCTCAGCAGCTGAAGAAAGATTCTCCAGCTATCTCAATTGCCACTGCTTTGAAGGAAGAGAACAGCAGCCAGCATCTACTGCACTTAACTCCTTCCCCCATTGCTATCCCGTTTCCTTACATTGTGTATTTTTAGATTGCAAATATGAGAGAACTGTCAAAATTGCAAACTACTCATGTAAAATGGCATGTACACTGTCTGTTATATATAAATAAATCTTACATGATCATGATGATGACAATAAACTTGCACAGAAAACACCACATGTGGTTGACTTTTGCTTGTTTATTTAAAACTGCTAAACTTTTCTACAAAAATATTTTGTGTACGATTTCTGTCGTTCAAGATTGATGAATTTCATGTAGAAAACACATGGATATCTGGAAACAATGTTTTCTGTGCAAAGGCCCAAATTTTTACAAAAATAAAGTAGACTTCTGTGCAGAATAACTTCCTGAAACAATTCTGGATATGGAACTACTGGGCAAAAAATGCAGAATTCTGACCTCTGTATTATTCTTCACAACTTAATTTCCTGAGTGTCAGGAAATCCATTTTTCATCTAGGAAACAAATGATTCCTACTTCACATTGTTCTTGAGAGGGTGAAATTGAAGGGACCACCCATATACTGACCTAATCATTCTGTTACTTTCATCATGATCGAGATCACAATCTTGCATTTCTCCATTGTCATTTGGGCTCATGATAGACATCTCTGCATCATGGACCATAGATTCTTCCATTTCATCTAAGAGCCCACTGTTTCTTTCACTGTCATTGTCATCACTTCCCTCTTCCATGACCACATCAGACTCAGCACCAGGAGTAAGCAGATCTGAAATATGTCAAAATTAAATAATATCGAAAGTCTGAAAAACAGACTCAATATTCACTTTGGCATAAAGTCAAACTTAGTTTTTTGGTTGAGATAGAATTTTAAATAAGCAACTATAATTACAATTTTAATCTCTGCTCCTCCTCTCTGAAGTCAACTTATTTCGTTAATTTTCAAATAACTCCTCCGCTCTTCTAAACAGCATAGTGGGCTGCAGTAGTGAGGGTAGGGCTTCCCTTCCTGCGGCACTGATAAAAGTCATGGTTTGGATAAGAGAGAATATTCTGTTTCAAAAATCTGTGGTTGTGAGTCTTCAAATTGATTCTGGCTCCTGATTATCCCATCACAGTGTTCTATTGGCAAAATTAATTCAGAGGAGGTTTGCCTTTGTCTTTCAATTAAGCTGAAATAGTATCTTTTCATTCTAAGATATCTTTAGTAGCCCACCCAAAACTGAAATACCAATTGTGTGTGTTGGGGCAGAAATGAAATTGTTAGGGGAAGAAATAAAATTATAATTAGGCAGGGTGAGACAAAATACAATTCTATGCGCTTGTGAAGAATTTTGCTTTAGCTCTTAACACATTTGTACATACCAGAAAATTACAGTGGACAAACATACAACAGTTAACAAAGTCACTGACATATATCTTATTTATGTAGCTGATACCAAATTTTCTGTTAAAGAAGTAATACCCAGGAACAGAATTCTATCACTCTTTTCCACCTGCTGTTCAGGTCCTGAACCGATGCTTGAACAGTGATGGTCTGGATGAGGACAAACAAATTGAAATTGAATTTAGACAAGACAGAGGTACTCCTGGTCAGTCGTAAGGTCAAGCAAGGTATAGGGTTATAGCCTGTGTTGGATAGGGTTGCATTCCCCTGAAGACACAGGTTCGCAGCTTGGGAGTGATCCTGGATTCATTGTTGAGCCTGGAGCTCCAGGTTTCAGAGATAGCTGGGGAGCTTTTGCACAATTAAAACTTGTGTGCCAATTGTGCCCATACATTGGGAAGTCAGACTTGATCATGCTGATCTGTGTTCTTGTTACATCTCATACAGACTTCTGCAACATGCTCTATGTGGAGTTGCCTTCGAAGTCACCTAGAAGCTTCAATTAGTCCAATGGGTGGCAGCCAGATTTCTAATTGGGGTGGCATAAAGGGAGCATACTACTACTCCTCTGTTACATCAGCTCCACTGTCTGCCAGTCTACTACTGAGCCCAATTCAAAGTGCTGGTCTTGGCCTATAAAACCCTAAATGGTTCTGGTCCAATGTATCTGTCCAAACATATATCTTCCTATGAGCCAACAAGAGTTTTAAAGTCATCTGGGGAGGCCCTGCTCTTGGTCCCACCTTCTTCGCAAGTGTGACTGGTGAGGACAAGAGAGAAGGCCTTCTCAGTGGTGGCTCCGCAGCTGTAGAACTCCCTCCCCACCGACATCAGACAGGCCCCATCTCTTCCAGTTTTCAGGAAAAAATTAAAAATCTGACTCTGCACACAAGCATTTGAAGAATAAACTAGTACAGATTTTGACACAATCTGAATAAGGATTATGAGTAAGGATTATGGATTAATGGTATTCATGCACTTAATATGTTTTTAATTGGTTATTATTCTATGTGTTTTATTTGTTTAAATGTTTTAATTGCTTAATTGATGGGACATGTTTTATGGTTACGTTTTAAACGGCATTGAAGAGGCAACAAGGGGGTCAGCTACTCTCGATCTCATCCTAACAAATGCAGAGGACCTGATCAATGTGGTTGAGGTGGTCAGATCTTTAGGGGCAAGTGACCATGTGCTCCTGCAATTTGAGGTACAAAGAAAGGCCGAAACTAAAACAAGTCAAACCTGCATTTTGGACTTTAGGAGAGCTGACTTCCGAAAAATGAAGGAAACACTGAGCAGCATTCCATGGACACAGATACTATAAAAGACAAGGGAGTTACGGATGAATGGGGGGTTTTCGAGAGTGAAATACTCAAGGCACAATTGCAAACAGTGCCAACAAAGAGAAAAAATAGGACAAGTGCAAAGAAGCCAGAATGGATGTCCAAAGAACTAACTGTGCCAAGACTCAAAAGAGACATGCACAAGAAGTGGAAAAATCACCAAAGAAGAATTCAAACAATTAGCCAACTCCTGTAGGGAAAAGGAGGCTAAAGCACAAAATGAGCTCAGGCTTGCCAGGGAGATTAAAAACAATAAAAAGGTCTCCTTTTCTTATGTCAGTAGAAAAAGGAAGAACAAGGAGGCGATATGGCCAAGGAGAAGATGGGCAATGCTGACAGAAGATAGGGAAAAGGCAGAACTACCTAATGCCTTCTTTGCCTCGTTCTTCTCACAAAAAGAAAGTCATCTACAACCTCAGCAAGATGGAGAGGATGAGGGATAAGAGGACATCCAACCCCAAACTGGGAAACAAGTCATCCAGGAATACCTGGCTGCTCTAAATGAGTCCAAGCCCACAGGGCCAGATCAACTACACCCAAGAGTATTGAAGAAGCTAGCGGAAGTCATCTCGGAACCATTGGCAATCATCTTTGAGAGTTCTTGGAGAACGGGAGAAGTCCCATCAGATTGGAGGAGGGTCAATGTGGTCCCAATATTCAAGAAGGGAAAAAAGGATGACCCAAACAATTACCGTCTGATCAGCCTCACTTTGAAACCTGGCAAGATTCTGGAAAAGATTGTTAAGGAAGTGGTCTGCAAACAAACAAACAAATAAATAAATCTACTGTATTAAAGGAGATATACCTATTCAGTAGTGGAAAACCATAGTTTCTATATGGAATGCATATTGGCTAGAAAGTAGAAAAAAGTAAACTGCATATAGACTTTTTAAAAACTTTTTAAACAAATTATTATAACACAGAGGGGGAAAACCTCTTGCTACAATGATTCATGCTTAGATTTTTGCAAAATAATGTGGGGCTATTCTTGAAAAGCTTTCAGAAACTCCAGATAGATTCCAGAATCTGCCTGGAAGACCTAATTACATTAACCAGAGAAACAACTGCTACTTTCTAATTCACTACTAGGTTCATTTTATAATGTTCACTCTGGTCTTCAAAACCTGGCTTGGGGCACTATCGCCTTCCATATGAACCCTCCATAAATAAATAAACACATTAATATTGATTATATTACAGCAAGCTTAGATAAATTGGACCTGTCCTCAAACTTGAGTTGTATTGAATCAGGATCATTTCTTAAAATAAATTGGATGCAACATCAATTTCATCTTCGTATATTACAAATGTGCTTGAGAAAACTGATCTTCATGGCTGGTATACATTAGGAAAGGTTCCACTGCATTTTAGGAATGTTATAATTTTCAAATTTCTATAATTTTATTAATGAGATATTTATGCACTGTTGATTACATCTACTGTATATACTTGAGTATAAGCCTAGTTTTTAAGCTGAAAAAGTCCCCCTCGGCTTATACTTGAGTCAAGGTTATTTATTTTTTTTGTTATTATTATACTTTATTATTGTTATTATTACATTTATTATTTTACTCTATTATTGTTGGAAGGATACGTAAGAACATTTACACCGAAGGTCAGAATAATTGTTTAATCAGAGTTGGAGTCTTATCTTAAATTACAGTTTTATGTAAATGTTCAAAAACATTTAACCTACTGATGCCTCAATTAATGTAATTGTATTGGTATCTATTTTTATTTTGAAACTTACCAGTAGCTGCTGGATTTCCCACCCTCAGCTTATACAGAAGTCAATCCATTTTCCCAGTTTTTTGTCGTAAAATTAGGTGCCTCGGTTTAAATTCGGGTCAGCTTATACTCAAGTATATATGGTGTTATTGTATTTATACTTATGTATTGTTGTCTGCATGTGACACTTGGAGTGCTTCTGTGAGTCGGCCCGAGTCCCTTTGGGGAGATGGTGGCAGGATACAAATAAAGATTATTAAAGTTTATTATTATTTGAGATAAAGCACAACTATGCCAGTGTTTTTACTTGCATATTGATGAGAAAATTAAAAAAGATGTATCATTCAAAGCTACCATGTACTACAAATACATTAATTTTCCAAACCCTATTTTATTGTTCATGTCTAATATTTTATTCAATACTTATACTAACATTCACAAATAACACTATGGTAGGGCCATTTGTGCCTGATGGTGGCTTCCAATTCGGTTTTGGCATGGAAGTGCAAACATGATTTTATGATTCAGATGTAATGCCTACTGTGGTTTGCCACATATAAGGAAATCAGGAACAAAATTATAATATGCAAGAAGAGCAGAGAGAAAAGAAAATGAATTGCTGTTATCAGTAACAATGTGAAAAATCACAAATTATGCTTACAACTAACCCTCTATCCACCCACACTTTCCCTTTGCTTTTCAACCCTAATCCAGATGGGGAGGATGGAGTAGTGAAATGCCAGAATCCATCAGAAACGCCCTCTTCGTCCAGATTCATTATAGCCTTACAAAGGGCCTGAATAATACCCCCCCCCCCCCGGCTTCAAGGAATCCTCCTGTAATTGACCTATGTATACGCTTGTTGCTTACATCAGTAGTTGTATTCATTACTGGTCACAGGGCACATCTGTTAAGCCTTAGCTCCCAATTTCCTGGCCTTGTAAAATTTCAGCCAACAAAATATAGCCTTAATTTTGGGATTAAACTGGCAGATTTTTAGTCATCAAATATCATACTGTAATATGGACTTCAAAACACTTTCCCCTCACCCTTCTTAAAATAGCTTTTTTCTAAGCATCAGCAGTGGATCTAGAACATTAGAGCTGAATGTGTCACAGTGTTTCCTTCCATTCTTTATCCAGAAATAACATCACATGGAGAGGAATACAGCCAATTTTCTCATTTCATTTCTATCAGCCGATATACATTTTGTGCCAAAAGGAAATTGTTAAGTCTTTCCCTAATGATGCTTACTTATTATATATTTATAAGACAGTAATCTTTCTTTCCCTCCTTTGAAATGAACTTCCAATAAACACTGCTGTAATCCTTGGATGGATGTTCAGTGTAACAAACAATTCTTGTGAGTTTCCTGAGAGGCACTTCCCCAAAGTAGGGATTTGGCAGTCATAACAACTACCAAAGAGAAGAAAAATGGTTTTTCCTTCTCATATTCACATGTTTGAGTGAGACTGGTTTCCCATAAAGGGCTTGTTTTACATACAGCAAGAGGACAAGATGAGTTCAGTGATATCACCACTGAAAAGACAACACTAAAAACCTTGAAAACAACAACTGTCTACTGGGTTTGCCACAATATATTCATCAGGGACTCCGAAATGGTGTTTTAGAAGTCTCAAAGAACAGGAGAATCCAGAGGTTCCCAATGAATTCCCAGCATCATTTAAAATCAACAGCTCTTCACAAATTTATTTCCCAAGGTCCATTGTGAATTTTGGGCCTGGCACACAGTGCGCCAATAAACAAAACAGACAAGGTCTGTTATTACTCCTCCTCGTTTTTTTTTTAAATCCTCCTCCTCCTTTGTAACGGTTTGGATCATGGTTGCCGATGCTTCTATTGCTAACTACTTAGCAAGTATGAACTTGTAAATGTATTCAGTTACCTTTAAAAATATGCTATATGATATAAGCATATGCTCATCTTTCTGTGTCTAAACACAAGATGCCACTATCAACATATAACAGAAAGAATAATAAAATATCTCCCTTATATTTGAAACCGGTGGTCTTGTTTTCCACCGATTAATATTGAGAACAAGATTTATTAAGTATAGAGGTAAAGGTAAAAGTTCCCCTAACATTAAGTCAAGTGTCTGACTGGAGGGTGATGCTCATCTCCATTTCTAAGGCGAAGAGCCAGCATTGTCAGTAGACGTCTCAAAGGTCATGTGGAGCGCCATTACTTTCTTGCCAAGTCAGTACCTATTGATTTAGATTTGTATGTTTTTGAACTGCTGGGTTGGCAGAAGCTGGACCTAACAGTGGGAGCTCACCCTGCTCCCTGGATTTGAACCACCAACCTTGCAGTTAGCAAGTTCAGCAGCTCAGTGGTTTAACCCACTGCGCCACCGGGGGGGTGTACATTTAAGTATATTTTCTCATATTTTAAAGTACAGCACTGAGAGTTCATTCTCAATTAATATTTTAATGTTTAAGTCTTGGTTATCTCAGAAGGCGACATCTACACCATGTATTTCCTCTCTCTTTCAAATTTAATGGCACATGACTTTAAAATAAATCCCAATCCTTTCAACATGCCTTCTATTCCTTCAAAAGGATTTTAGAATAGAGATTACTACAGTCTTTAATGTAACTTACCTCCATTAATGGCCACTTCCCCAAGGCAATTATTTGGCACTTTAGGTGCACAGCGTTTGTGACAGTTGAATCTGCAATCTGATTAAAAAGTAATTCCGTAACTTTTTCTCGTTTATATGATATCACCACCTCTTACATAAGAACAAGGAAATCACAGTTAGCTGTTGGTCCCAAGGTCAGGATAATAAACATGGCTTGATCCTAGTTTTGAGGGTAAATATATACTAAAGTTTTCCTATTTCAATGTGAAGATTCATTCAGAGAGCATCAAATTGGGGCAGACATTAAAACTTCAAAAAAAATGTCAGAAACAGAATGGCTGGCATTGCACATGCACACAGTTCCATCTTTGCATTGAAAGTGTGTTCATCGCTAAAAGTTGTATTTTTCAGATCTATCATTCTGAAACAACATTCCAAATTATGTGCTGTTTTCCACACATCTGCAGAATGGCAACAGCCCATATTCAACAGCAAGAAACAAAACATTGCCTAAACAAGGTTCTTGGGATTAAGAGTTTGCATAGGCATTTTTGCTGAAGGGGGGCATATTTCATCTTATCCACATTAGATAAATAAATGGAATGTAAAGAATGAGGACCTGGTCTTAATTATTCTCTTTGATGGCCAGCTTTCCTGCCAATGGTGGTCATACTCCCAATTATAATATGTCTGTGGAATGTACATAGTTCTGATTTCCTGCATTCTACGATTCTGTATAGCTTCACAAAAATGGAAAAAATATGTTACGGAAAATATTTTGCATTTTCATTTTTTTTTAAAAAAAAAAAGGAATGTAGAGAAGTATGATTCCACTTTATAACCCTTGTGGCTGTTATTCGTGTTAGATGAATGCATGGTTAATATGTACAGTGGGAGATTCCAAGGCACATGTCATACAGAAACATGCCCATCGGTGTCTTGCCTTACAGTCCTTCATTCCATACATAGCAGAAGAGAAAAAAAATCAATTCTTTTATTTTTTTTAAATACTGTCTTGTTGACATTCTTAAAAGTCAGCTAATAGAGTTCAAGCTAATTCTTAAATAGGTTTACCTTTGCACTGTACACCCTGTCTAAAAAGTCCTTTAAGTAGCTTCTTACAGTACTGGCAAACTGTTGGCCGTGTATATGAATGGATCACAAATGTATGAGGTACTTTAACCTTGGAAAGCAAAATCTTGTCCAGCTGAATAGGGCGCCCAATGTAAGACTGTGAATTAGATCGCTTCTCTCTCCCAAATGTCTCAGGTGGTGATTTTTGCTACAATACAACAAAGTGGAGACAGGTACACAGAATCATTTAATATGCATCATCTTCAATAAAAGTAAATACAAAACTACAGTGGCCAAACAGTTGACTGGTGATCCTGGGTGTTTAAATGTTATATAGGCCACCATTGAAACATCATATGACCTTCCCAAGAGCAGCTCAATACCCTCTTCATGGCATGATAGTTTTTGCATAAAAAATTAAACATAAAAAGAGATGAAGTGCAGCAGCAGATGAGATGTCAGAAGCAAAGGGAAATTCTACAATTTAAAGACAGAACTGTGTTAGTCTGGATCAGTATGCATAAGTGCTTTTTCAGTACTTTGAATCTGAGGGAAGACCTTAGTAATATAAGCTTTCATAGACTATGTGTACTACATTAGGTACGTTATCTCAGTCTGAAAAGTTGTAAAAGAACTGCTGAGAGAGAAAAAAATTCAGTTTGGTTATCAAAACATATTCACCAGCTTATTTTAGAACTACAGAATATGTAATAGAGCTAAGGATACCTAAAATGTAACTTGTACTGCAAGTAGAGCTATATTGTCAAGTAAAGTATAGTTTTAATCCTAATATATTGCTTCTGGGTAGCTGGAGATTTATGTGGGGAAAACAAGGAAGCAGTGTGAGTCAATCAGAAGGAGCACTCCCTTAACTCTGTTTGACTAATAAAACATGATGTCCTTGTTTAGCTAGGCAGCAGGTTTTTCACCCAAATATAATACAAATGTAATACTTTTTTTAACAGAAGCATTACTCTTTCTCATAAAAGGGGAAATGTATGTTGAAATGCAAATTTGTAATTCTTCCATTGTTCCCCTCAATGCAGATCATCCTGAAGAGGATAAAAGGAAGAGCCTGCTTGAATCATTTCTTTCGGCCATTTGTCCAACTAACTCAGGGAAGGGTCCAGACATGCCCAAAATGTGGAACTTGTCTCGCTTTTTACCTTTTTACTGGAGGCATCCAAACGATGCCTCAGGTAAAAGCGAATTGATGCAGAGTAAATCAGGTTTTCTCAGTTTACTCCACATTAATTAAACACCTCTAAAGATCAGGACCGAGGTCCTTAGAGGGCCCTGTGGGGACTGACGCTCCGGGCTGGTTTTGCAGTCCCAGGAGTCAGTCCCCACAGCCATCCCACTTCTTTGGACTCCCAAAAACCTGAAGGAGCAGGATGGTGCCCCCTCCCCTCCCAGAACCCAAGAGGGAGCAGGTAGTTTTATCCTGTTTCCTCTTGGGTTTTAGCATAGTGTAAAAGGGACCTCACTCAGCCAATTTGCTTTTTTCCCTTTGGGTTAAAAAGTTAAGGGGCCCTATACCTTTTCTCCCTAAGACTGAAAAAAAACAACTGGGCAGCAATTATGAATTGAAAATTCCATAGCACTTGCTACCCTCCTGGGTCACAGTATCAGAATCATTGAGTTGGAAAAGACCTCATGGGCCATCCAGTCCAATCCCCTGCCAATTTTCTCTATTGTTCGCTTTTCTTTTTAAAAATGTAAATAAGGATAACAGCAGCGCTCATTGGAATCCAATTTGGCCTTAGCGGGGTGCTTGCTGAGACAGTTGAATGCTGCTATAAACAATATGCTTTAAAATGTAAATACATACAGATGCATGCATTTTAATCGACTCATTTAATAAACCAATGTTAAATAAAACAAGCTGCCTCGGGTTTCTTTCACTGAGGTGTCAGCCCTACAGTGAAACTTTTGTTCAGGGCAGATTTTTAATGTCGAAACAAATGAATGTAGGACAAAAATCTAATGTTTTTGTCAGGAAATTAAATTATTTCTCATAGAAGTTTGTAAAAATGTAAAGCTGTGAACTGGACTCTTTCTTCTTTATGCAATGCGCTAGTTGCTGGTTAAAGAGAGTGAGATGTGAATTATTTTTTCCGGGTAGCCAGCCAGGTTCCTGACTCAGGAAGCTTGGATACTTACCAGGAAACAATTGCTTAACTAGATTACACTATGGAAACTACAGAAGCCAGCAAATGCTCCAGGCAGTGAGCAAATATGTGCAATAATTTCTTAACAGAAACATTACTTTAACACTCAACAATACTATATTTCAGCCCTCCCCTAATTGGTGCCCTCCAGATGTCCTTCCACCAAGCATGGACAGTGGTTGCTGTATTTCAAACACATTTTGCAAATGCAAAGATGGTTGCGGATAAAAGTTGTTATGTGCCTTCCAAGTAATTTGTGATGTAACCCTGACATCATCTATGGAAGCTGATGCTACCGAAATCTGTCATGGAGTTTTCTTGGCAAGATTTTTCAAAAGAGTTTACCTTTGCCTTTTTATGAGGTTGAGAGTGTGTGACTTGCCTATGGTCACCCAGGGGGCTTTCACAGCCACGCAGAGATTCAACCTTGGTCTCCAGAGTTATAGTCCAAAGCTCAAACTACTACACAATGCTGTTTCCACTTGCAGGTGTCTGGATACCATTATTTAACCTGCACAGCTACTAGGATGTCTTAGTAAAAACCAATTCAATCCAAGCAATAAAAAGACATATTATACGGCTCTACATATACTTGTGGGATTAAAAGAAATAAGGGAAACGTTCTACTACTATCCAGGAAAAAAAGTACTTCTTTAACAAAAATCCGCAATATGTTTAGCGGGGTTGTTGATGTTTCTTTCAATTAGGAAATCTCAAGAGTACAGCATGTGCATAATGTACTGATCAAGCTATAGCTGAATCCAGAATGAAAATATCTAACTGATGGTATTTAGATATCACAAAACAGGTTCTTTTATTGGGGAAAGAACTATTACAAATCAGCCACAGTTCCTCTCCAGAAATTGTGGCTTTTTTTACTTAGAACTTGCAAAACTGAGACATGACAGCCAGGAAAAAGCATTTTATGGTTGCCATAAAAATACTCATGCCTTAAAGACATATGAGGAAAGTACATTTTGTCCATATTTTCTCTGGTAACTGACAACCATTCTCCAATTTTCGTTCAGAGGTACTTTCTTACCTAATTATTAGAGGTCATTTGAAATGGAGGGGCTGAACATATGACTTACAAATGCAAAGGAATCAAACTTTGAAATGTTTCTACCCATACCGTCATAAGGTTAGGCAAATCATTTTAGATGTTTTATTCAGGATCAGATTTTATCCAGGACCAGTCTTCTCTCGCATCCCACAGATCCTCGGGGGAGGAAATAGTATGTTGAACAATTAGGATGACGCACACAAATAAAGACGCAAAGCTTTGGAGTTTGATAAACCTACCTTCATATAATCCTGCAAATTGAGAAAAGTGTCTTCATTCATTTGAAAGCAACAGAAATATGTATATACACACACTCTTATAAAACAATTTTCCCATGAAATTATGTGGCATAATGAAAAAAGAATGTTTTTAAAAATGTCTGAAAATTTTAATTGTAAAATATTTAAAATCAAAACATTAAAATTATTTTCATCTTCTTGGCATTTAAACAAGTGTGAAACAAAACTATACTTCTTTATCAAATCCAATGACAATTAAATGGTTTGTTTTCTGTTTAGAAAAAATGATGAAGAATTTAAAATTAGTACCTACCTCAAAGCTAGGGCTTGTAGGAATCTTGATCAGGCAGAAATCATCCAGAATAGAAAGAAGAAAGGAAAACATGGATCAATAACAATAACAGCAAAGTTCATATAATTATCCAGTGAAATGATTTATTTAAATGTCAATTTGATTATTAACTGGTTGTATAGAACCGGCTTTTCATGGCATTGCTGTATTTTTAACTTGATATGTTGAAATAGCGTTATATTTTATAACTGAATGGTGTTTTAAAATGACAGCTTGTTTAATTATATTACCTTTTCTAACCTCAACTCTTTCTTTATCCTGACTGGGTGCCTTGTCAGGGGAAAGGTAGGATATAATAAAATGATAAATACATAAATAATGCATATCATTATTACCTACATCTGTAAAAGTCTGATCAGGCCAAAACTATCTGTTCAAATTAAGATGGGGTTATAATTCAAAGAATAGGGACAGAAAAGAGAGATTTCCTTACATAAGTCCACTTACTCACCTCTAGATACTAACCAGATTTGAAGCTTAAATCATTAAAACAACATTTAACCCTGTTCATTGTTTGTGAATGCTTTCAAGTAATTTCTGACTTATGGTGATCCTAAGGTAGTGGTTCTCAACCTGTGAGTCCCCAGATGATTTGGCCTACAACTCCCAGAAATTCCAGCTGGTTTACCAGCGGTTAGGTCAAAACATCTGGGGATCCACAGGTTGAGAACCACTGTACTAAGGTTTTGAGCTGTAAGCAATACAAGGAATGATCTGGATTATGTGGAATAGACATTAATCTTTGGAATAGCCCTGGACTAGGATTGTTGGATTATGTGATTTTAATGTTTATATTAATATGGGTTGTTGTAGGTTTTTTCCGGCCATATAGCCCGAAAAAAACCTACAACAACCCAGTGATTCTGGCCATGAAAGCCTTCAACAATACATTTATATTAATATGTTTTTAACTCCACGTTTAATGTTTAAATGTCATTACATTTTATGATTTTATTGATAGTTGTACATTATTATTGTTTCATGTTAGATTTTTCTATATGTGATGCATTGAATTTTGCTATGTATATGTTAGAAACCTCTTTGAGTCCCCCCACTCACCCTGGGGGTGAGAAAAGTGGTATACAAGTGAAGTAAATAAATAAATAAATAATAAGGTGACTCTATCATAGGGTTTTAAGTGGCTGAGGCTGTGTAAGTTGCCCATGGTCACACAGCGTGTTTTTATCGCTAAGTGAAGACTTTAATCCCATTCTCCAAGGTCATATTCCAGCATTCAAACAACTATGCCATGCTGACTGAGAAGCTCCAAACTTACAGCTAAATAGTTGACCAAATGTAATTTTATTCTGTAAGTAAGGATTATTTTCAGAATCCAGGAAAAACTTCACCTATCAAATAGTAAGAATGACTTGCCACACCCCTGGCTAACAAATGAAACCAAAATGCATCCATTTTCTTAGTGTAATATTTGACCATTTCCAAAGAGACAGTAAGTAAACAATACATTATTATTATTATTATTATTATTATTATTATTATTCTACTGACACTAAACACAATATGACTCATTTGCTGATTTCGTATCATAAAATCACAAGTCAAACAGTTTTCAAGCGTGATACATTTTTGAATGATGCGTGTAGATCCAAGTAAGGTTTATTATTATTACTATTAACTTTATTTATACCCCGCCTTTTCCCCCATGGGAACCAAGGAGGTTAACATGGCTTACATTTCAACCACAAAAGATGTAATTTCAACCACAAAGGATGCAAATATTCCTGACTGGTCTAAAATGAAAAAGACACAGAAACAATTTATGCTTATAATATGTATAGCCACAGCTAGGATTTCCTTTTATCAGAACAAAAGGGCTTTGGATCAAGTAGTCCAAGAGATATTCTGTCACAGTATTATGAAAGCTAGAAAGTTAGAATTGCAACTGACTGTGCAGGATATTTCCATGGTTCTCAAGCAAATGTTTATATCAAGCTACATTAGTCACACTGACATTATGATCTTACTACCACTTAAATTACTAGCAAGTCTTTTATGAGTCACTGCAGAAAAAGACAACCATCATGTGTTATGCTAACACACTGGCCTCTTCATCATTATTCTGGGCAAGATCCAAGGAACACTGACTTGACTTCTATATGTTTAAATCTTCTTTTCAAGCAGAACTGTTTTAAATTGCTCTCAGTTTTTTTCATTACGCCCAAAAGTGTGAAGGGGAAGGGACTACATATTTTTCTTCACCATACATAATGTTGCCAGAGTGAAGTAGTTATTTCTTCTAGAAAGTTTTATAACAACATGCAATATAGAAGCTGCATTTTAATGATGTTACCCCAACGACAATTCCAGAAACAAATATATTGCACGGGCATTGCCATTTGTAGTCAAAAGTAGCAGGATAATTAAAATTGTAAAAATGGTAAATGTGCATGAAAAGTTGTCTATAAGTAGGAGAAAGATGCAACAATTAATGAATCCATTCATTATAGAACCTACTATTTTAATACTGAGAAATTTTGTACCAGGAGAGCTTCATCTGAAGTAGGTGAGGGTTCTGCAGACACTGTTCTGATGTTACTGAGCCCTGTTAAGGAAACATTCGAAAGCCGTCTTTTCCGAACACAGCTGCAGTTGTTTGGGATTTTAAATGCACATCTCTTATGATAGTTTAACCCACACCCTGAAAAATCAAAAAGGTATATTACAATACAAAGTGGAATGTTAACATTAATCAAAAAGTATATCTAGAACAGTGTTTCCAAAAGTCTGCTCTTCCAGGGGTTTTAGATTTTGGATCTGATCACTGGCTAAGACAGCTGAGATTTCTGGGAGTTAAAGTCCAAAACATTTGAAGGACTAGAATTTCATCTAAAACATGCATTGTTTCTTCTAGAAATAGCTAGGACAAAGCACCTGATCCTAATCAGAATATTGGAATGGTAAAGGATAAAGTGTTTCATTCTTTTCCGGAATGAAACACTTTCATTCTGTCAAACTAGTGTAAATAATCCAGCTGGTCAGAATATCAGCTATTTCTAAATAAAACCATAAATGTCACATAAACTTCTTGTGTAGCAGTAAAACTCTGAACTAGCTTTTTCTCACAAACTTTTGACTGTCCATTAGAATTTGTAACAATAACAACAATTTTTATTGATTAGCCCTTAGGCCGTATCATAATACCAAACCAAACAACAAGGCTTGATAAGACTTGACTGCACTCTACAGATACAATTTACCCTGATCAGCCCCACATATGTGGTTCTCAAACGTATTGTTTTACTGAAATACAGAGCTGTTTTATATGTTATTTTTGGGTCTTGGCCACACATAAAATATGTTGTTCTAACGGCATCCCTTATAATGAATGGATTTGTATCTGCGAGGCACCTGAAACTGAGGATACAGCACACATTAGAATTTATAGATTGTATTATATCTTTCCTTATTTCACAGCTATCATACAGTATACCACAGAACTGTGAGTTATCTTCTGCTAATTGTGCCCACTAGAGTTTGCAACATAGGGATAATACAATTTCAGATCAGGTGCCTTTAAATCCAGCTCAAAGTAATGACAGTTACACCTCAATTAACAAAGTAGATTTGTTCCTGCATATTACTTTTCTAACAGAAAACTTGGTATTAGAGGCTGAAATAACTTCCAACAATTTTCAGCAAACATTTTATTGAAAACTAACGATTTGCATACATGAAATAAAACAACCAGGTCAGATAAAACTTACTTATATAAAAAAAGAAATATTTTCATCCTTCTACAGCACTTTAAAGTTTTTTCCAAGGACTATGTTTTTCTTTCATCAACCCCCCCCCCCCCCCCACACACACACACACACTTTTCTTATGATTTACACTTTAGTGTCCAAATTTATAGATCAATTTTCCCATGCTGGATGGTTAGTAAGGCAGGCATATCTGCTTTCCCTTTCTTTGTTTTGCTGTTGGTGCATTTCAGTAAGGGATTCTATAGGCAGCTTTTTACCTTGTTTGTTGTAAGAAGGTACACATAGCTGCAGTAAAATCAATAGGAGTAGATTCCTATTCTTTTCTAGTTCAAGCTTTTTTGCATTGTTTGCTACAGACATGCTGTTACAACCTGATACCAGCATATATTTCTCCATCCCTGAATGCTGATTCTGCTTTATAAACTTCCAGCTAAACAAAGGGCACAGAGAAAATGTAGGAGCTGGGAAGGCATAAAAATACTTTTTAAAAGGAACTCATTAGTTTTATGTTATTATATTGTTTTATACGCTCATGTACCTACTGTATTCTGTGTATTCGCACTATTGAGGTCTTTGTGAACCACCACGAGTCCCTTCAGGGAGATGGTGGTGGGATATAAATAAAGTGTATTATTATTGTCTGAGGTTTTTTTAATATAACAAACAACATCTTACATCTATATAGTTACCATATTGTAGATACTCAATGCTAACAGCCTGAGGTGTGCAGTCTTCTGTTTCTTGACCAGACCAACATTTTCTGGTTCTCCTATGCATAGGCAGTCATTCGAGTATCATGACACAAATCTTTTCTCCTAATCTGATCCCTCAAATATAAGTTCATCTAAGATTTAAAATGTTTTTCTATTCTGCTTCTATGCAATCCATAGTTTCCTAAAACTGCAGCATAGACTGCTGTAGCCACTTTACTTTCTCGCTCAATCATGCATATTTTTGAAACAAGTAATCTCTCAAGGAAGCAAACTTCTTCCCTTAGGTGCTTATTGACACCTATAATCTAATCATTCACAAACCTTTATGTGTTTTGATACTTTACAACAAATCTTGTCCTAGCCATGTTCTCATTGTTCAATCAAGTTACTCATCAGATCTTCTTGTCTCCCTTCAATGGACTGTTTGCCTTACCAAGAGGGACACAGAAACTAATTTGCTTGTAGCAGCTATCTTAATCAAAACACACACAAACTTAATACTACCTTTGGTAAGTATAAGAATTCTAAGCAAGGACAATTTTCTGGATGTGTCTTTTTGCAATGCATGAAATGTGGCGACTGAAGAAAAATTTCAATGGATACAGATTGTTTGTTTAGGGGGGCGGCAACAATGCTCACATATTACATTCCCCCCCCTCCTCCTCCTCCACATATGGCCCTAGACCAATTTTTTACACCCCCAACCCTTTTAGACAAAACAACAGTAACAAATTGCTCTCTAGAAGCCCTGAATAGATGGTATTCTACTCTAAAGCAAGGTACATCACTCTACGCACCCCTTTAAAAACAAAGTGACAAGAAGGTTTCATCCGGAAGGGTCAGTGGAGCCCACAGTGGGTCTGGGTAGATGGAAAATGGATCCAGCGCTCTACAACATTGCCCTCCTTTGATGTACAAGGACAGCTGAAGAGAACATGTATGTGCAGCCTGACACCAACCAGACATAAGTGTACCCAGTTGATTTTATCCCATATTAGTATATCTAGTTGTAGCATTTTCACTTTCTCCCATAGATATGAATATATTTTATGGATTTGATATATTTCATGGATTTGAATGTATTAATATGGAATAATATATCCAGGGAGGACTTGTGACTGCAGAAGCGTGACTCATTCTTTTCCTTGTCACAGGTCTGACATTTTTGTTTACACATATTACATGTTATACTTAGGAGGACATTTCAAAGATCCTGAGGCAGATTCACTCACCCTCGCATTTAAGTCCTTGACGTACAAGACCCCAAAGCATTTCTCCACAGTGGTCACAGAATGCTGGTGCTCTGTATGAATGCACAAAGAGAGCATGTGGTCGAATCTGAAAATCTTCAAATGTTGCAGACGCTGGGGAAATAAAAGATTCCCAATGGATTTCTTTACAAAATCAAAAAATGTTATCAAACACATGATGTAGCAGTAAGTGGTTCACAGACTACTTACTTTATCACTGTGTATTACTGATCCAAACAACAGAATGCCTGAGGCATTTTGGCTCAAAAGTATATGTTCTAAGACTTTTGTTTGGCATAAGCACAGAAACAAAAGTTTGCTATTTTGAGAGGACAGTAAAAGTGAAGTTCTACAGCATGCATATGAACATAAACTATACAATTCCAAACAATAATATACCCATAGTTTTTACCTTCCATATGTGTTGTAATGTGCCTCCCCCAAACTATTAGATAGGATTTGTAGGTTAAAACTTCTGAAAGAAAACTGGCTTATGCATTCAATTAAAAGGATGCAAGGGTATAATTTACACTACTGCAGAATTAAATCCACAATGTTACAAAAACACAGTGGAAATGGGAAATCATTATTCTTCCATCTCTAATAAATCACTTCAATATATCAATATGAGTGTGAAGGCCATCTTTTGATTCAGCTAAATTGTATCCTCCTCTTCCTCAGGACACACAGTGTCTTATAAACACTGTATACCAATCTTGACAAAGATGTGATCAGTCCGGCCACTGGAATTTACGAACCAGCTTGTGGTCTCTCCTCCCAGACCCCACCCATTCCTTGGATGTTTCCTATCTATCAGAGAAGCAGCATAGCAGTTGTGAACCCCTGTCTAGAGCAGGGGTTCTCAAACTTCTTTGGCCGCAGAGCCCTTTTTGGTGCAACAGTTTCTAGTAGAGCCAAGACATGTTTATATGTTATGTTATATATTATATGTTAAAAGGTTTGCCCATGCCCGATTTATATACATTAAATGCATTGTGTTATTAAAGTTGACAGACAGGCAAGGGCAGCGGCAGCAGTTGAATGGAGAGTATTTGTGTGAACTAATTGGAAAAAAAGAAGAAATTCCTATCCACACTGCAGATATTTCATTTGTGCAAAAAAAAAAAAAAGGAAAGAAAGAAAGAAAGATACAATATTTAAAATGAAGAACAATTTGAATCAACATAAACTTAAAAATATTTCTGTGGAAGAACACAGGGACTGTCTAGTTCAACTCCCTTCTGCCATGCAAGAAAAGCACAATCAAAGAACCCACTGAGCAATGGGAGGTAAATAGGATTTTAGAAGCAAGCAAGACAGGGAGGAAGGATGGGGGCAGCGAGCAAAAAAAAGAGCTTTTGGCAGCAAGGAGGCCAAAGAAAAAAGGCTTTTGGTGCAAGAAAGGCAGGGGAGAGGGAGGTGCAGGACAGCTTGGAGGAGGGAATCATGGAGCCCCTCAGTATGATTTACATAGCCCTAAAGGCTCCAGAGAGCACACTTTGAGAACTGCTGGTCTAGAGAAACCCTAAGTTATCCACCAAGAATTTCTAAAGATTAATTCAGAGATCATCAATGCTCATAAACCTCAGCACAAAAACAAGAAATTGCAAACATGATAGGATACATGACAGAACAATACAAATATGCCAACTCAGAGCAAATACTAAATCAATCATGCATGCTTTGATGTCGAAGATTGCACCTATCTACAGCATTAATATAGGCACAATGCTCAGAGATTATCTGAGACAGAGTTCCAGAGAATTTTCTGGCCAGGGCCCAAATTTAAGTAGGCTATAGCAACTTTTGTTCTAAGGAATCAGTATGACTGAACCTTTAGAAGCTTTCATTCTAAAGATTCAGTATGACTGTATGACTGAATTTTGTAAACGAGAATATGCTAAAATTTGTGCTATATTGATCATAAAGATGAGCCACCAATCTCACACAAAAGATATAGGTAATACTATATTTCTTTAATTCTAAGGCAAAATCAATTGTAAGATGCACACTAATATAAGAAAGCATCCACGATTCTATGATGAATCCCATTTTTAGAGATGATTATATGGAAGAAGATCACATCTGAAAATCAAAGCAATACAGTGTGTGAACTAAAGCCCATACGTACACTTCTGCTGCATTTTTATTCATTACAGAGGCTTCAAAATATGAAATTAGGGTCAGAAAAAATATGTGTACTATACCTATGTAACTTGTACTCAGACATTTTAGGCCAAACTTTGCTTAATGGAAGTATAAGATGACGGAAGACACTTATAAAATTTTAAACTAGAAGAATGTAACGATCTGGAAATTCAGTAAGACTTCCCCTCACAACTAAACACATCATTTCTAATCAAAAGAATCCACATAGGACTGACAGTTCCATAATATTTATCTTACTGAGCTCAATGAGATTTACTTTCAAATATACATGAGCAAGTTTGAGCTTTAAGTAAAGCACTTTTCTTGCCCATCTGGTTCAATAGCAGACTTAAAGGTGTGTTTAAATATCTTAAAATGAAATCAGAAAAACTTTATGCTTTCATTCTGTTTTTCCAGTTTGTTGTCACAAAGATTATCTTGTGTTTTCCTTGTATGAACTCCAGTAACATTACCATCATCAGACGAATAGTACAACAGTTTAAAATAGTATCATCCTGAATAGATATATAATACTAACACCCATGACATCCACTGGCTAACACACTGTCAGGATTTTATTATGTTGAATACAAACAGGAATATTTTACCTTCCTCTTTCTGCAGGACTACAATGGCTAATCCCTTGTTTAAAAAAACTATAATTAATTTCTATGTACCACATTGTATACTCATATCAAAACATTCGCAAAAGTTATGGCAGGGCATTAAATTTCATGTCCTTTCTTTCTTCATATTGTCCCTCCACCTTGCATCAAAATCATTTCCAACACAAACTTGCCAAATATAATACGCCCACCATGTTTATTCTTGTTACTCTGTGGTTTGGTTAACGCAAAGTTCATTGTTCTCTTCTGCAGGGCATGAAAAAAGGCAAACAGCAAGACAAACTGAGTCATCTCTTCCCAGAATTATATAGCCTAAGTACTCCTAAGTAAACTAACAGCTCTTAGAAAACCCTGTGTGTTCTATTAAAATTATGAGAATTACTTAGACTCTTGGTATGCTTCATTAAAAGGCAACAGAAGTTCAAGCTTCAAAAGATTCCAAGTATCTTAAATTCTTTTTCTCTTCTTATTCTTTCTCTGTTCTTACTATTCTCTTATCTGCCCTTCCTTTCTCTCCTCCTCACTTCCTGTCCTCAGATATTCATTATTCACTGTTGCTGTTCTTACCAAACAGGAAAGGTTTTCTTCTGTCTTTCTGTTTGTTAGCCATTTGATCCTTCAGACCCTGTAGAAAAATGAGTATTTCCAGCCTGCCCCCAGCTGCATGTCCGGGGATTACGGATAGTTCGAGGAAGTTGCTACCTAGTGACCAAAGATGGTAATGCAGGCAAATCAGCCCTTTCTAATTATCTAAAATTAATAAATTCCTAGAATTTTCAATGGCAAACCTCCTTTCTAGTTGTTCAAAGGAGGTTTGCCATTGAGACTGGGAATGTAAATTGTCATAGGTGTCCCAGTGAGTTTTCAAGGCTAAGCATGGATTTGAGATTTGGTTACTCAAGAGTACTACTCACATCAGTACACCACCTTGACTCTTAAAATTATTTAATCCTTTAATTTAAAAACCCTTAGAATCCCATTAGTATGCCTGCCAAGTTTCAGGCGTCTACCTTTCTAACAGCAAGGACTGAAATAATGGGGTTCTTCAAATAAAGCTGAGCAGCAAGTGACAGCAGCCATGGCACAGGAAAGGAATGGTGGGAGTTGAAGTATAACACTTTCAGGTAAACTTCATGGTTGCCATGAAGGTATAGCAGGGAAAGATAATGAATCTCTCTCACATTATTGGGTAGTGTTCCATCCAGACGGAGGCCGCTAAGGAGCACAAGAGAAAGAAAGATAGTCTATTTTATGGGGGTGGATGGTGGGTTGAAGAAGTAAAACTATTTTCTCTGTTTCCTGTTATTCCCCCCACCCATGTTACCATCGTGAAAACAACACTTGCTTATGATAAGGGAAATGGAGAGGGGGAATAACCAGCAAAAATGGGGGAATAGTTTTCCTCCTTAAACTCCCCCCCTCCCATAAAATGGACTATTCTTCTCTCTCTAACACCCCCTAGTGGCCTCTGCATGGATAATGAAAAAGTACTTATTATTATTATTAGTATTATTATTATTATTATTTATAATGATAATGATGATGAACATTCCAAATATGGAACAGTATTAATTTCCCCAAAAGCACACATCATCCATCTGGAATTCCTAATATTCCTTTTTTTTCCATCCAGCCAAAAAGTTTAGTCCAAAAGTAAACCCTTGATGATTATTACTTCTATAAAGTGCTATATTCTTTTTTTCCTTCCATGTTTCTTATGCGCTTTAGGATAAAATGCTGCTATCAGTCACGCTAACAGGTAGCACAACCCAACCATCATGGCTTCCATTATAAACATCAACTGATCATTTTCAAGCAATTGATTCTGAAAAAAAAAAGTCCACTTAATAAGTTTGACTACATGGAACCAACCATCTATTAGGACTGGGATACTTCTAGTAATCTTTTTCATCTTTGTCATTCTTTATGAAATGTCAAGAACTGTTAAAGTGCCATAATGATTGTTAGCAGTCAGACTCTCCAGTCTCGGCACAGCAAGCGTGAGGTTGCAAAATAAACAAACTCAGGCAGCATTCTTCTTCTAAGGTAACTTTACTTAAGATGTCTACATACAAAGGACTACATCATGGAACTAAAGATGGCGACGAACAAAGCATAGCAAGAAGACACAGCAAACAAGAGATCCGCCCTTCTGTCTTATCTATGTTCTTGGCTGGTACACTCCCTAATTTCTCTCAGGGCAAAGGAATTTCGTGTTATCACAGTTTCACTGTCTGGCCTGTAAATTTGTAACAATAACATATGTGAGCTGAACAGTAAATGAACATGACTGAATCCATCTTTAAGAAGCAATACTGATACATAATAATACTAATGCAA